TGACTTAATGAACCCAGTTGCTTTGGATCATGCTCAAAGATGTAAGGGCTACAAAAAGTTAACCAGAACTCTTATGGACTCCATCTTCTCTTTCGAAGAGATGGCAGCATGAACGGAAAAAAAGGGGTTGTTGGTGAAAAAAGAGCCTTGACCTACAAAAGGTGCAGCTAATAATTGGTAAGCATGTCTGAATATCTTTTATCAATAGTTATTATATATGACAAGCGCTGAGCGCGTCCGTCAGCGCCAGCCATAGCGCGGAAAGCACAGTTTGAATCTGACAGTTATGTCACTTCATGTCAAACTTGTTTTCAAATTTTAATGTAATCAATCTCATTTCTTACAGACCATGTCAAAAAGAGGCACCCAGGCATCGGAGGCACTGAGATCAAGGTCTGCATGGCACAAAAGTTAAAAGATCTGAGGAGACGAGCAGAAAGGTAATATTCAGACGATCCAACATCCAAGTGTGATCCCCATGTGGTCTGTTCACATTTGCGAAACCGACATGCGCGAGGACTGATGACTCAGTTTATTCCTCAGTCTACATTGTGATCTAATCACAAACTGTCAATAGTTTTTTTTATAAATGAGACGCACCACTCGTCTTATACAGTTGTTTAAGCAAGATGTATTTCCATAGCATATTTACGTAAAACGTTTAATGACATAATAACATTACAAATGAATAATAATTAATTATTAAGCCCCATAAAAATGCTTTTCAGAAACCTACGGGGTGACGTCACGGACACTACGTCCATATTTTTTTTTACAGTCTATGGTTTGCACTGCCCTAATCTTTGATCTTTTTCTATCCCAAAACAGGATGCCTGCTGCAGGAGACACAAAGGACTGAGACAACACACTTTCACAAACGCACACCACACACACACACATGCGCGTATACCTGCGTTTTTTGCGGCTTTTTATGTATAATTTTAATTTGGTTTTGCTTTGTTTGTTTTAAACATTCAATTTGTATTGCATATTTTGAAATGAAATAAAAATTGAAAAAAATTTTTTTTTGAATTATTTGTTTTAATGTTGGGAAACATTAGGCTATAGAGCCTACACAAGAACATGGTAGGCCTACCGTTTTCTGTGGTATATTGCTTAATGATTTTTACATGGATTTCACATGAAGTTACAGGTTTACATGGTGTGTAGCTTTAACATGGATTGTTGATGGGTTTCAAATGTCATTCTATGGGTTTCACATGAGATATTTTACATTTCACATGATATCTCATGGGTTTCACATGTGATTAAATGTTTCACATGGGAATTTTACGTTTCACATGTAAGCTCATGGATTTCACATGGGAATTTTGGGTTTCACATGCAATCCCATGGGTTTCACATGTAATCACATGGGTTTCACATGCAATCACATGGGTTTCACATGCAATCCCATGGGTTTCACATGTAATCACATGGGTTTCACATGCAATCCCATGGGTTTCACATGTAATCACATGGGTTTCACATGTAATCACATGGGTTTCACATGGGTTTCACATCCCATGGGTTTCACATGTAATCACATGGGTTTCACATGCAATCCCATGGGTTTCACATGTAATCACATGGGTTTCACATGCAATCCCATGGGTTTCACATGGGAATATACATGGGTTTCACATGAAAATGTTCCAAAACCACACGTTTCCCATGTGCAAATTACCTTTAACATGTGCAAAGCACATGTGTTCCACATATTTCACATGTTAAATTTCACATGTGCAAAATCACATGTCCACGTTGTCACATGGGATCACATGTGTTTTTGCACATGTGAAACTCATGTGGTTTTTCTGTAAGGGAAGCCTATGGAGGAGTGATCCAGCTCTCAGATTTAATCAAAAATATCTTAATTTGTGTTCTGAAGATGAACGAAAGTCTTACGGGGTTGGAACAACATGAGGGTGAGCTGACAGAGTTTTGGGGTGAACTATCCCTTTAACATCAGACATTTGGCATTATCAGGACCCACAAATATTCCCTAATAATTGCATTATTATTATATTCAACACTATATAGTTAAATGTAGTACTGACACTAAAACTCTGTAAACTATCATTTTTTCTCACACATTAGTTTTTTTGGGGGGGTGAATTATCCACGATACATATTGTTGCATTTTTGTATTGCGATATATTGTGACACGATATTGTTACACCCCTATTTTTTAAGTATAGTAATTTTATATTTATTTTATGTAAAGTTTATTTGTTTCTATAAGTTCATTAAAATTATAAATGAGTCTGAACTAGTTGATGCACGAAACCAGCACCTGGATAAAGAGGTTGACTGGCAAAAAGTATTTTATGTATTTTGAAAATACAAAAATACTCATCTTAAATGTATTTAAATACAAATTACATTTGATTTTCCCCAAAGGCTTCAAAATACAAAATACAAAATAGTATTTTGTATTTCAAATACGTATTTTAAATACATGTATCTGAAATACTGCCCATCCCTGCCTGCATGTGATGTTGAATATGCTATGTTAAATAGTTGCCCTGCCTATTCAACAGGAGAGCTCATGTAGGCTATGCAGGTTTGAACAAGGTTAACTCTCCTCTTACCGATGTGACAACAAATCCCCATCTTTCCAGTGTAAGCCATCCTTACTTTTCATCATTGAAACAACCAAGTTAGCTGTCTATGGGTTCTCCTTTGTTGTGCTTAACGTTGTTTTATCGGTTGTTAACTGGATAGTAGTATAGCCTGATCTCAATGCTAAAACTGGCTATTATGCCTACAATCTGTTCTATGAAAAAGTTCAAGTTTCAAAAAACTTTAGTACATGTTGCATGCTGTATCTCCTGAAACGTCGCGCTTATTCATTTGTGGATGTTAACTGAATCTGTTATAATGTTACACCATACCACTTTTATTAACTGTATACTACTGTCTACACTGCACTATAATTATGTCATATAGAGCTGGTAAGTCCCGCCCCTTCTGCTTACCCCGCTGGACCTCTAGGTTGAAAAATCGTCAATGCAAGTGAATGAGAGAAAATAATTATTTTCTAATCCCGTTTGAATTTTGCAATAAATGTGAACATATGTTGTCTGTGAATTTTTTATATAATATTTCGTGTAAATAATGCTACAATTTAGCGGGTAGAATTTTCATACGGTTAGACTTTGTATGAGAGCACTTTGTGGACTACAACTCTTCCCTGCTTTCGACGCGTTTGATATACGTCACCACCACTAGCACACGGATCCCGCTAAACATGCCTTTGTTTGAATGGTGACATTTGGGTACAAAACACACAGGCATCTCGATCTAATTCCTTAGATTATCGCACCGTGATTTGTGGAGGGCAAATGTATTATGCGGCGACGTCACATATGCGACGTGTAGTCTTTCTCGTTATGTCTATTCCACAACTGCTAGCAAAAGAATCATACAATATACTGTCAAACTCGTTACATGAGAAATTATATAAAAAATTCACAGACAACATATGTTCACATTCATGGCACAATTCAAACGGGATCAGAAAATAATTATTTTCTCTCATTCACTTGCATTGACGCTTTTTCAACCTAGAGGTCCACTTGGAGTTTTACGGATAGGCGGGACTTACCAGCTCTATACTGTTTATACTGCACTACCTGTCTATACTGTTAACATTGCACTTTTCTGAATTTCTGCACTTCTGGTTAGACGCTAACTGCTTTTCATTGTCTCTATAATTGTAATCTGCACAATGACAACAAAATTCATGTAAATCTAATCAAATCTAATCTCCTGCTAGCTGTACACAGATACCCAAATACATGTCACCTAATATCACCATTATAAATTGTTATGCAACCATGTAGTTCAAATTTCCATATTTATTGTATGTCATTATGTCAGTATCAGTATGCTTTCAACCATGCACAAATAAAAATGTCACTGAACTTTTGCTGTGTAATTGTAACAATGAGCACTCAAACACACCAAACCAACAATTACTAAAAACACACACAAAAACTGATTTTGCAGGGGCACTGCACTTAGTGTTGTTAATTTTACAAAACTGTACTTTATGACACATACTCATGGGGAAGAAATTAGTAAAAAAAAGTTTAAATCATTTTATGCACTTTAATCTGGTGATTTTTTGCACTTTTGTTCATAAATAGGCTACATATAAGAAAGAAAGAAAAATCATTTCTAAATTTACCATACAGTAACATTTGAAACATTTCATCAGTTGCTGTCTTTTAGAAAAAAATAAGTTGAGCATTATCAAAGCCTTTTCATTACAGCTGAGTTTGTTAAGGTAAAAGAATAAAAAAGGACAACATGCACTTAAAAGAGCAGAATCTATTCCTTATTATTGTGCAGTCAATTCTATAGTGACAATTTAGTGTGACATTAATATTTTTTTTTTACACAAATGTGTTTTCACGTAAAGGTAAACAATGTGTTTTCAGGTAAAAAAATAGACTTTTTTCCTCAATTGCAGACAATGCACTATGTGGTAGCCTACAGTAAAAATATTTCGAGTGTCCCTTATTTTCCTATAAAAAACCAAGATTATTATTATTAATAATATTATTTTGCTTTGCTGAAGTTGGCTATACAGTCAAACATGTAGGCTACTTGAATCAGGAGTTTCTAAATAACAAAGGCATGCAAACTGCAGCCTACAAATAGATTTTTAGAATTAAGTTGATGTCATTGAACGACATTTGATTTAATGTAGTATTGTCGTGTTTTCATTTAGCTTGTAAACTGTCCACTGTACATTGCGTAATGGCATTTGGAGACTCTGTCCTGCGGTCGTTTCGAAGGAACAACCTGTCTCAGAATCCTATCTAAGCACGACAATGTGTGTTACTAACTCTAACATAAAAATTCTCAAGTTTTAAGTTAAAGGTAGGCTAAATAATAAGTTTGTGTAAAACGATATCTTCCTCGACAGGATCGCGGAGCGGAGAAAGATCTTGAACGGCGTTTGGGGAATAATGTGACCGGGGAATAATGTGACCAGGAAATGCGAACAGATTGTTTTGACCGTAAGCAATAAATCACCTTCTTCTTCCCTGTCGACAGGGCTGTGCCATCTCGTGTCACCGGTCAAAGGGTTTTCTCAAGCTCACAGAATGGACGAAACGCTTCGTCTCAAGTCCACTCAACATTCACTAGAATGAGATTGACCCTATGGATAACTGAAATGCGATTTACTGCTTAAATTTAACTTTAACTAGGCTACACATACGGGACTGACGAACAATTTCACAATGGGAGACATCAGAGAAAGGGTTTTATTGTGCTGTCGGAGCATTTCCTCGTGTTTCAGAGACCCTGCGGATGACACCTCACCTGCCACCGAGAAACCGCGTATTGTAGTGATAAAGAATGAGAATACGAAGGCGCCTAGCCGGGAGTTACCGCCGACACCTGTGGAGAAACCCGGCTACGTTTACGTCGCGCTGTACGACTACACGGCGCGCACGGATGATGACCTGAGCTTTAACGCAGGGGATAAACTGGAGCCTCTCACTAAAGGCGATGACTGGTGGATCGCGAGAGGAATCACCGGGATTTCGGCAAATAAAGAGGGATACATTCCTGCTAACTATGTGGCACCCGTAGAAAGCCTCGACGCTGAACCGTAAGTTTCTGTGGAAACCCTGAAACTGTATGTCAGTCTTAAAAAAATATCTGTAATTGGATTTAATATAGAAGTAGGTTCTGTAAGATTAGTTGGGATACAGGAGATCACATTGTGGTTTTGTTAGGAAGGATTTCCCTGAATGAGTTATGCAGAAATAGGGGTGTAACGATACATGTCACGATTTGATACCACGATACTGAACTCACGATACGATATTGAGATACTCCAAGACATATGGTAAAATGTTAACAAAAAATGTACTGTTGATTAAAATGCAAAATTTTGCTATTACATTGTGGGTGTAAATGAATTGGCTTGGACCCAAAGCACAGGACAATGGTGATTCAGAATAAAAATATGATTCCAAAGCTGAAAATACAGAATTATTTTAGACGAATATTCCTGCACTCCTTCGCTGACTAGATAAATAATGTAGGCCTCTTTTTACTGGTAACATAAGACTTTTGGCATTATCAGGACCCACAAATATTTCACCATTTCATTATTATACATTATATTAAAAAATGTATAGTAGTTTAATGTAGACACTAAAACTCTAACACAGAAATTTTCATTTTGGGTTAACACGATATATTGATGCAGTTTTGTATTGTGATATATTGTGATACAATATATTTTTACACCCCTAGTCAGAAATGATCTCCTGTCTTTCTCAAAGCACATGACATGAGCATGACAATTATAGGCTATTTACCAGAGTCCATGACCTTCCTGAACATCTCAAACAAAATTAGTCATCTCTCTTTAATTCATACCAGCAGTACAAACAACTGGCACTGTATGAAGTAGCCTAATTGTATAACCGGTATTGTAACGCAGTGTTTCTCAAACCTGTCCTCATTGTCCTGTATAATAAGGAGGGACTGCACATTTTGAATGTGTCCTTCATCTAACACTCATGATTCAACCCATCAGCGCATTAGAACAGACCTCAAGACTTGAGTTGGGTGTGTCTGATAAGGGGGACATCCAAAATGTGCAATACTGGGGACAGGTTTGAGAAGTGCTTTTGTAATGTATAAGAGTGTATTGTATTTGTAATGCATGCATAGATACCCTAGACGTCCTAAGAGTAATTGTAACCAACTCTGCATTCAGCAAGAGGAATAGCATGAGGATTCCTGCCGGCAGATTCTATTGTCTGTTGTATCTTTAAGGGAAGCTGGTTAATGTTCAGTGGATAACCAGGAAGCATTGAGCCTGTTAATGATTCCTAAGCTCTGTGCACTTTAAGTGCCATAAACTGGTAAAAAAAAAATCACACTCTAAAAATCAGTAAATTGAAATAAATTGTTTAAGATGTTTATTTTATTTTATTATGCTAGACTTGTAATTGCGTTATTGAAGAGGGTTCTTTCTCTGTCAGTATTAGTAATTCTGATAATGATCAACATTTGTTGTGTGTGATGTTATCTCTCACTTAAGGCTAGTATGCTTTGTCACTTTGGCACACTGAATAGTTTCTGATTATGTACACGTACTTTCCAGTTTTTCCAGCTCTGCCACCAACTACGTAATGTGCTTGAGTGTAAATTTGTTTTGTAGCTATTTGACATACTTTCAGTCAGATCAGATGTAGTCTGTTGACAAGACTTCATTACAGTTCATTGTACTGCTGGTGTGTGACAGCATTATGTGTCAGCAAATGTTTAGTCTGATCCATGTTGAAGATTCAGACATTACTAGAACCTGCTGGACACAAGGTCTCTGCAATGTGTGTATGCCAACAACCATAAACACTGAGGAAACCAAAGGTTAGTTTATGATATAATAAGAATTTCATAATCTTTGTTTGAACTTGCCCAATTGTTATCAAGACCGGCAGTGGTTCTCAGCTGGCTTTGCTTGAGAAGTTCAGAACGCATGATATTAGACCCTGTTTACACCTGGTATTAAGATGTGTTTTGTTCTATCGGATCACAAGTAGACGAGGGAGACACATTCCCATTTACACCTGGTGTTTAATCCGTCTCTTTTGCCCACTTTCATCCACTTCTGTCCCAATTTCTTCGAGGGGAGGGTCTATGGGCGGGTAAATGTATGGGTTTTTCAGATCTTTCAATCTGATGGACAAAAAAGCTTGATCAATTTACATATGAACTCGACCGGACACGACGGGAAAACACCAGCTTTAGGGTGTATTCACACCCGCCTTGTTTGGTTCGATTGAATCGAACTCTAGTTCGTTTCCCCCCTTGGTGCGGACCTTTTGGGCAGGTGTGAAAACAGCAATCGAACTCGGGTGCGGACCAAACAACCGAACCGAGACCCAGCTGAAGAGGTGGTCTCGGTACGGTTCCAAACGAACTCTGGTACGGTTCGTTTACGGTGTGAACATGAACCGACCCAATTGCAAGAAAGCACTGCGCCTTTGAGTTAACAGGCTTCCGTAGTCGGAGTTGCGTTATGGGAAAGTGATCTGTTGTAGCCTACTACATTACATCTGTTGCGCGTCTTTCTGTGCGTCGTGTGTGCATCATTGGAATGGAATGAATGAGTGTGTGCATCAGGACATTCACATACAGAGCGTTCTCTTTAGTCTAATCGCGCATAGATGCAAAAAAAAGCATTTGCAGTTCATATAATGTAACGATAGTTACACTCAAAAAAATGATATGTTGGCTTTACTTAACTTTTTTATGTAAACAGGTTCCACCGGTTCCACATAACTATGTTTCGTTAAACAAACATAATATGTTCATGTAACTTCAACATCATGGAATTTGGTCATTTTAAGCGACCCAATTAAACTCTGAGCTAATGAGTTAATTAAGTCAATAACTGAGTGATGATTGAGCATTATTGAAGACACCTGATGTTAACAAGCAGAATCTCTGAAGGAGAAAACCAGAATGTTTAAGTCACCATTATGGAGATAAGTGTGTGTTTTAGTTGGGCTCTTGGCCATTAACTTATTAACTTTAGATTTTGTTTGGTTGCTGTACATGAGTTATAACAGCCAGAAGAACAATGAACTGAGGAGATCTGATGGTGTTGGTTGTGATTTAACATAATCATTATTTCACAATCATTTGACCTGAGTCACTGAACTTATATTAAACCGAGTTTCTGAGTTAAGTTAACCTTACTGTCATTGTAGAGCATACTATTTTTAGACTTTTCAATGAAATTCAAATGATCAAATCAATAAATAAAAAAGAAACTTTCTAAAAATTATTTTTAGTAGGCACACACAGACATCAAGAATCAGCCTGTGAATCTCAACAATGGTGACAATTATAAAGCATGTTGCAGTGCATTCTGGGTGCCACCAATCAAAACTCATTCTTGGCTCCCATCATGCATTGCTGCATGAATAAATAATGAGCTCATGATCTGTTTGTCACCATTGCTGAGATTCATATGCTGATCCTTGATGTCTGTGTGTGCCTACTCAGGATATTTTTTAAGAAGTTTATTTTTTATTTCTTGATTTGATCATTTGAATTTCATTGAAAAGCCTAAAAATAGTATGCTCTACAATGACAGTAAGGTTAACTTAACTCAGAAATGGGGTTCAATATAAGTTCAGTGACTCATGTCAAATGATTGTGAAATAACGATTATGTTAAAACACAACCAACACCATCAGATGACCTTTGTTTATTGTTCATCTGGCTGTTATAACTCATGTACAGCAACCAAACACAATCTAAAGTTAATAAGTTAATGGTCAAGAGCCCAACTAAAACACACACTTATCTCCATAATGGTGACTTAAACATTCCGGTTTTCTCCTTCAGAGATTCTGCTTGTTAACATCAGGTGTCTTCAATAATGCTCAATCATCACTCAATTATCCACTTAATTAACTCATTAGCTCAGAGTTTAATTGGGTCGCTTAAAATGACCAAATTCCATGATGTTGAAGTTACATGAACATATTATGTTTGTTTAACGAAACATAGTTATGTGGAACCGGTGGAACCTGTTTACATAAAAAAGTTAAGTAAAGCCAACATATCATTTTTTTGAGTGTACAATACAAGGATGATGCTGCGTTAATTTACGTTAAGCCTTTTTTGCACTTCCTGATTTCCCTACTTGAGAATCCTTGTCCAATGAATGGACGACCTTAGCACAAGTGTGGTTTTGTTTACAAATTTTGGTTCACTTGCAAAAAGAGCAGTGTGAAAGCGAACCGTACCAAAAAAAAAAAAAAATTATTTGGTCCGGACCAAAGCAAGTGAACTATCGGACTTTCCTGGTGTGAATACACCCTAAGTTTCTGCTCTGACAGACACAAGACCAGCCGAACGCTGTGAGTGTGTGTTAGATATTATTTATGTAATTATTATACCCTTAATCGATCATACATGTACAATTTTAGTTTATCAATTAATATTACACACAGTTTAAATTAATAAATATATAAAGGTAATATAAATACACTTTAGAATCAATAGATAAAGCTATAAAATGACTACATGTGCGCTTAAATGTTCAATTCTCTCTTTACCTTTATAAACTGTATAAACTAACTTCACAACTTTTACTTGCCCTGATATAGCAAGACTTTTTCTTTTAGTTGTCCTCTTTCATAGACAGCTATTTTCTTCTTGCTGTGTAAATTTGTTTAAATTCTTAATATATTTCAATCTCGTAATATTCTGCAGGAGAGAGAAATGAATCGCAGTTTCACTCGTTCTCAGCATGTGATTGGCTGTTCACTGCTGATGTCACACCTAAACTACTAAACTTAGGTTCAAAGCCTGAGATGACAGAGAAAGGTGATGATCAGCATCATGGTATCAACAAAGCCTGGTTGAATTGGTTTAGTTTTGCCAACTCGAAAGTCAAAACTAATCCTGCAACTCTGAGTTTGTTCAACTACCATCATGGTACAGGCACAGGTGTGAACAAGGCCTTACACTGGATATGAAGTGGCAACCAACACATTAATAAATCGTACTGAAGTAAACTAAATTGTCCTTAAAATCAAACATTGAAATGTATTCACATTATCAGGAACGGGTACGGTATCAGGCCTAGCAATTTGCTAAAAAGGTAACAACCTTGTAAACAACAATAGAAGTGTGAATTACCAGTCTAACATATGAAACAAACACTGGGCTAAATATTGCATTACTAAATATTGTGTTAGCCATAACACATCAGTTTTTAGTACAAAGATTTCAGTACACCAAAGGAAAAAGGGAAAGTACATTTTATTGTGTGACCTCTAATATTGGGTGATATCAAGCTCAAATAACGTTGTCCTGCTCTTTCACCGCAGATGGTATTTTCCAGAAACCAAGCGCCTGGATTCCGAGAAGATGTTGATGTCTCCAGAAAACAACAATGGAGCTTTTCTAATAAGAAACTGTGAAAGCCAGGCGGGAGAACTCTCACTCTCAGGTACATTAACCTTCAATTCCTTAATTATTTTCACATGTGCAGCTGTGAAACTATAAATGTTATTATGGGGTTGTTTTTTGACGTTAAATAAAAAAAAAATCTCTAAAAATAACTATTGCTCCCAAATAAGATGTTTTGTCAAAGTTACTGTTTGGCTGAGATGGAGTATGTTAACTGAGCTGCAGTCTTTGAAAACGATCTAATAATGCTGTTCACAGATTCAACATTCAGTATTGATTATGGGAATGTTACAATGACCAGGTTTCTTAATGTTAGTGGAATTTCTTTTTTTTTAAGGTTAGTATGATGTTCCTGAAACATTCTTTCAACTTTGTATGAAAGTTCAAGTATTCCTAGAAAATACAAATCTTTAACATTCCAAGATCATAAAAATGCCTAGTTTCCTTTTCAACATGAAATCAAAATTGAAGTTGTTTGGCTTTTCGTATGAGTGTTATCAATAAGCTAGTGTGCTCCAAAACAATGACAAAATTCGCATTTAGAAGATAAAAGCATTCAAAACGTATAGTCTCTCACTTCATCAGATTTTCTGGAACATTAAGATGCTCTCTAGAATCTAAAGCGCCCTAGAATGGCACATGATGCACTATATAGGAGATAGGGAACGATTCAGACAGTGTAAATACAAAAGCGGTCGACACAAAATGAAGGAATCACTTTCTGAGACACCTCGTTGTACACGAGTCATATTAAAGATTCGTTTAAAATGAACACTGGATCAGTGTTACATTTAACACTCTGTACTGTGGCAGTGTTCATATGTCCACAGGGGATTTTGCTGTGTAACATCCAACTTTAAGCCATTTTTAAGCCAAAAAGTTAGAGTGATTCTTAATATTTATAGGACAATCGAAAAATGTTTTTCAAAGAATGCTTTCTGCAAACATTATGAGAACATTCATCAAATACTAATGATGACAAAATATGATTTCATGAACATTGTTTTGAAAGTGTTTATTCTAACACGTTCATAACCTTTACATAAATTTAAGAGAAAAGCTAGAAACAATAACTATGGGACAGGCTACAAAACATTCCCACGTTTACTTTTACAATCGCAAACACAATCTTCTAAATGTTTTACGGATGTTCTAAGAACGTTTTCTCCCAACATTATGAGGACATTTAAAAAAACCTTCTACAAACAATGCAAAGTTTCTGTGCTAACCTTTTGATAACATTATTTGATGACCAGATAAAATTGAACAAATGTTCTAGTAATGTTACTGGAAGAACGTTTGTTCATAACTTTGAGAGAACCTCGCCAGACCGTTAGCCGAAGTTATGAGAATGTTCCCTGTTAGTCATGTCAAGTATAGGGATCGTAGTTGAGCTGTGATCTGTACAGAGTAGACTAGGCACCACGGTTCGAAATGCAGGTGTTTAATCATAGAGTTAAAATTTATTGTTTTAGGTCCTGTCAGTTTAAACATTCAAGCAATTGTAAACCGTTTGAGCACACAAAGATGCAAAAGGGAACTCAATTCTGAACCGAATTCTTGTCTAATTGTGCTTGAACGGACACATACAGGCAAAATTATCTTGAAATGCCTTCCTCAGCGAGTGTCATTATAAACAGTCGGCCATGGCTTACGTGAACGTAAACAACCGAGAAAGACTACGGATGCGTATCATATTGGATCCGTGCATTAAAGTGACAGCAGCCTAATATTCCTGCTGCTGTCTGAGTCATTAATGTTAATCAAACAACAAAATACAAAGAGAAAATCCCTTTTGTGGCTTTAACAAAGATTATTATATTTAATTTATACACTGAAGCCACACTCCCGCCATGAGCTGCCGCTGGCCTCTGAATTATTTCATGATTTGTTGTGATGTTACCCTGACTCTCCTTTTCCCACTGGTCCTGTTCAGTCCCAGTTCTGCTTTCAGCGTCTATTCTGGGCCCGCTCAGCTCCAAGTCTCTTGCGTCTCCTATGATCCTTCCCTGCCTCCCTCTCCCACCTCCTCTTCAAACTTCAGCCAGTTCCTCTGCCCACTCTCCGCCGTCTCCCGTCAGCCCATCGTTTCCTCCTCTATCACCCCTCTGTGGCATCCAGCTCCTCCTGGAGGAAGGCATCTTCTGGCTCCTCCTCCTCCAGGCGCTGATCCCGTCATTTCACCTCTGCCCATCGTCCAGACTCCCCCGCCTTGGCTCCTTCTTCCCTCAGCTCCACCTGGGACCATCGGCCTTACGGCTCCACCTCGGTCGGACAATGCCTCACCTACACCACAAATTTGCGAGACGTCCGCTGCGCTCCGTCTCTCCACCCCTACGGCTCCCTGTGGCTCCTCCCTCCCTCCGGCTTCATCTCGGCCCTCAGTCGCTCCAGGTCCACCTCTGCCCTCCGTTACCCTGGTTCCACCTCGGGGGTTCGTCACCACTTCTCCGTCGTGGCCTCTGAAGCCTGCTGTGTCTTTCTGGTCCATCTGCTCTCCATCTGCGCTAGGCTTCCTCTCCACCGGCTCCGTCTCCATACGTTGTCCCAATGGCCTTGTTGAGGAGACCTCCACCGTGGGGTATCGTCCTGGCTGGACTCCTCTTGCTCTTGTCTCCACCCTGGCTCGTCCCACCATCTTCGCCACTTTGGTCTTTTCTCCTGTCATCGTCCCTGGCTCCCTATCGTCTGCCGGCTCTTCGTCCTCCTCCAGAGCCCCCGCCCTCCCTCCTCAGTTGTGGATGGTTACATCGTGTTAAATGAAAATGTAATGCGTATGCTCTGTTTTGGTTTAATTTTGGTTCCTGTTTGCTTTTTTCTCATTTTCCCACCTCTTTTTTTTTCTATGGTTGTTAATTAGCTCCCCACACCTATTTTGTTTCTACATTGATTGTTTGTACTGTGTACAAGTATAAATGAGTTCTCCTTAGTTCTTTGTCCTGTATCGTTTGTGGAAGAGTGGTTGTGTTTCTCCGTGAACTACTACGTGTTTTCTTTTATAATAAAGTGTTTCTTTGGATTCTCCGTCATCGTGCGCATTGTATACAGCCACCGCGGGACACTGCCCATGTAACGACACATTTTCATTTGTTTTTTTAATTAAATATATACATAGAGCAGCAATAAACATGATGTGATCATTACTTCTTACCAGTATGAGAATTTTTCCGGTCAGTAATTTGCATTTGTTTCATGCTAAAATGTGGATGTTGGGTTAAAATATTTATCTGTCATCAAAAGCACAACTTAAGTTAAAGAATTTGAAATGTTTTTTGTTTTTTTTAAACCAAGGCTGGTATATCTGCTTCCTGATTAGTGACAAGAAATATAAACAAGTGTTTCCTCATTCCAGAGTCTTAGCGTCAGTTCACATGGTTTTTTTTATTGCTCATAATCTTCAACAAAATTGACATTTGAAGATCATGAGAGGTAAACTTGTGATGTAGACTCTGCTCAAGGTGCCTGTTTATAACAACAACAGCCAATGTCATAAACCAACGTGACTGAAAGTAATTGATTAGTGATTACTCACCAACTCATTAACACTTGAATGTATCCTGATCTTTCAGTGCCACTCCCTGTATCACAGATCGATCTCCAACTACACAAGGAGCACAGCCTAATTCCTCAGTCCGCCAATGAAATATTGTCACCATTTTTCTAGATTTGATAGTGTGCACTTTGTTCTCAGATAATGTTTATTGTTTGTAGGGCCATTCACACCAAGCACAATAACTATAAAGATAAATGTAAATTAAGGCTGGGCAATATGATCAAAAATATTTTCATGATCAAATTGTTCATATCAGTCGATATTGATAATTATCACGCTAAATGTTAAATCTTTATTTCTTTATTCTTTATTTTCTTCTGCTGAGTGAAAGTTGTAGACAGTTAATTGTGTCAGCACAACTCAGGTATATTGAAAATATTTATATTGATACAAAAAAAATATACATCAAAATATGCATGAGTTAAGTACAATCCTTTTTCAGTCTTTTTTCCTTAACAAAACAAAAAATATCTAAATAGAAAAAAAAAAAAGTTTCTGCATTATCAAACAATTTTCTCTTTTGTTACCGTAATAGCTATCATCCTTGGTGTGAACGGGCCTTAACAGTGGATTGAATGCCTGGTTTCCCCCAGAGTTGGGGTGTGGGGTAGATCACAATATTTGTTTTATTGTTAAAGTGGTCTGCCATCTAAAAGTTTGAGAACTACTGGTGTACTGGTCTGTGTAGTTCATTATTCAGAGTACTGTGGTTATAGAGTAAAGGTAATTAATACTAGTCCAAGTCCAAAAGCGTTTTTTAATACAAGGCTGAAAACTTTCCGCAATGAACAGCTATCTCAATCTACAATTCCATGGTTGCAATCGTTCATTTCAATGCCCTCAGATATAACGGTTTATTTTTCTATTGTGGTACAGCAAAATCAGGACTAGAATGTACAGGTATGTGAGCAATCCCAAAGTCACTATAAAGTTCCACCAGTGCTCCTGTCCTGAACACAGTCAGTCAGCAATGCTGAGATATCTGTGCATGGTTTGTAATTGTAATCAGATTACTTTTCCCAAGTAACTAGTAAAGTAAAGCATTACTTTTAACTGAACACCGAAATATTCTTTTTTCAAAAAAGTAACACCAGTTACTTTGTTTTCCCATTATTTGACTGACACCTCTTGTCCCCATGTTGAGAGAAATCGTGAGTAAGAGCAGAGGTGTTGTGTGTGCTGAGCATGATGGTTATTGTAGTTCACAAATTCACAATATTACGCAAACCTGCAATAATTAAATGTTAAATAACACAAATATACTTTATGTATTTAATCTCACTTTATTGACCAATGTCTTTGCTGCTGTTTCTTGATGTGCTCTCTGTCTCTTTTGTAGTGCTGGTCCAAGGGAAAGTGAAGCATTATAAGATCAGAAAGTTGGATAACGGTGGCTACTTTGTGTCAAGGACTCAGAATTTTATCACACTGAGAGATCTAGTGGAGCACTACTCCAGATATGAAGATGGCCTCTGTATTCGTTTGGCAGAACCCTGCAAAAAAGTGTGTAACATTCTCTACTACATCGATAATTTGTTTTGTAAAAAATAATCAGTGAGAATTAATTGAGTAAAATACTGTTCTTTCTCTTTCTTAATACATACAGAAATAAAATGACATGATATATTAAGTTGAGATAATTATTTGTTCGAAGAATGTGATACAATGATGAAATTATACAAAACTATTTGACCTCGGAATACAATAGTACGTCAGGGAGCTATTCAATTCAATTTTCAAATGAATATTCAATCCAATACATATTTCCTTGCTTTTGTTTGTGTGTACTAGACAATAGCTCCAGAAACTCATGGTCTGTCTTATAACACTGTGGATCATTGGGAGATCCCACGTAAATCTGTACAACTCCTGAAGAAGTTGGGAGCGGGGCAGTTTGGGGAGGTCTTTGAAGGCATATGGAACGACACAACAGCTGTTGCTGTCAAAACACTCAAACCAGGTACACACACACACACACACACACACAGAGATCTGAAGGATACACATATATATATATGATAGACATACAACTCCAAACATACATGCACATGGCTTAATTATATGGCTTCTGTATGTGTTATAGGAACTATGGATCCAAAAGACTTCCTGCGAGAAGCACAGATAATGAAGAGACTCCGTCACCCCAAACTAATCCAGCTATATGCCGTCTGCACTATGGAGGAGCCCATCTACATCATCACAGAGCTCATGAGCCACGGAAGCCTCCTAGATTACCTGCAAAGTAAGACACACTCGCATGTGCTACACGTCTACATGACACAAATCATAATTGTCAGGTATTTCCCTCAAAATGATTATTCATTTTAGATTAATAGAATTTACATTAAAATACCCCACCTTTTGTGTAGGGTAGCTGTATACCATATTCTTGTACAGTACACATCCAAAACAAGTTTTTGGATGAAATTTTATGGAAAATTGATTCAATTATACACAAAAAAAAAAGCTAAATGAAGTACAAAATGCTGACACGACAGGAGCAGGCTTTAATCAATAAGTTCCATGATTAGTTAATAGCATCAGCTGTAATAACTGATGTTGAACTCTGTGTTTTTTTAGGCTGATACACAGTATATAGGAGAATTATTGTATGTGATTATTATGGATAATACATACAAACATATAATATTGTTGTTGCTGTCATTTTATAAATAGGCCATTGAAGTTTGTTTGTTAAAACAGGCTTTTCCATTGGTCAGACTTCCAAATTTCAAACACTACAATTGGTTGAGTTAATATTGCTTGACCCGGGCGCTCAAACAAACAGAACACATTTTGATTGAGCCACACTGTTAACACTTTTCTGAGAGATCCACCTATGAATGGCTTAGTCACCAGTAAAGCACTGGTTTGATGGCAGCAGGGGTCATTCAGTCATGGGGTTGGAGAGAGGGAGGAACACAGTTTACACAGGCTATGCTTCCTTATTGCCATATTTTAAATGTCAATCATGAAGGCAGTTAGTAGCTGGTATGATACAGTTGCGGTCACCTTCCAGCATGCTGGAAACCCACTAATGATCTTTGCAACGGAAGTAAATCAATCTATTCTTTAGCTGGACAATAACTTTATTCCAGAGCTGCTGTAAAGCCAAAACAATCTCTGTTACTTTAATGTCCTATTATCACCGTGAAGCTGCTTTGAAACAATCTATATTGTGTTAAATGAAGGTGACTTGAATTGAGTTGACAACCTTGAAGAATAACCAAACTTCTCGGAGGGTTAAATGCACCACATTTTTACTACCATTTCTTAGCAATACAGTTACAGTACATTAAAAATGGGTCTAGTGATTTAGTTTTAGCTTGGAAAGATATAGAACAGTCATTAATTCAAGAAATACCAATAAAAAAATATCCCTTTTATTGACATTAACATTAAGAAACATAATCGTTTTAAATATCTTACTATGATATTTAACATCATTAAGGCACATTTTGACAGGATGTAAGGTGGCTCTTAGCCAAGGTCGGTTTACTTGGCGCCATGACCAAGTACTGCGATGTTTGGCTTTAGCATTAGAAGGCAAGCGTAACATGACCAATAAGTTGCCACCTGTTCTAGCAAAACATTACACGCAGAAGACAATATCCCTCCGCCCAGGCGAGCAACCACCAAGAAAAGGTGTTAACACCAATTCTCGCCCAGGACAACTGGAAGCTGCTAGAGACTGGAAGATGCTGGCTGATCTTGACCAACGGCTTATTTTTCCACCTGAGATTGCCACCACTAACCTACGAACAGATATTGTTTTGTGGTCTGGATCAGCACGCATTGTTCAACTGATAGAGTTAACAGTGCCATGGGAGGATGCGGTAGATGAGGCGTATGAGAGGAAGAAACTGCGGTATGCTCATCTGGCCACTGAAACAGAACAGCGAGGATGGAGAGTCCAGGTTTATCCAGTGGAAGTGGGTTGTCGAGGTTTTGTGGCACACTCTACAACCCGGTTCCTCAGAGACGTCGGATTCAGCGGCCAAGAGTTGCGTCGCACAGTAAAGAACTTATCTGTAGCAGCAGAAAGGAGCAGCAACTGGCTGTGGTTGAGACGGAAAGATTCTAGCTGGCTGTGTACAGGCCGCCACGCTACGGTTTCGTAGAATTCTTGAAAACTTGAAGAGTCTGTTGGTTTGTTTGTATACGTTCCTGTGGATATTGTGTGAATGACGGGTGGTTGGGCAGATATTGTGTTTTGCGGTAGGTGGTATGCCATACGGAACCGTTGTCCACTGAAACTGCATATTGACGCACCAGTGGGGCTCGACAGCCTTAGTCAAACGGGTTGGCGCGTATGGTTGTGAGATTGTGAGATTGTGGTTAGGTCTCAGCAGCAGGAGGGATGTAGAGGTCAGTAAGCTGGGCTGAGTTGAGTGGGGGACGGAGGGGGGTGACTCTGGGACGCCAGAGTCACTGTCGAGCCCTCTTGAGGTGTCGTGGGCTAGTCGACGAAACACTGAGGACGGAAGGTGCCCACTTGAAGACCCTAGAGATTTTTCACTTTTCATCTCACCTCCTCACCAGTTGGACACCATTATGGAACAACAATGTTTACTATCAACAAAAATTCCCAAAAATGAAAGAGAAAGGAACATTAAACTTAGAAGATAATTTTGAAAATGTTCAAAAGTCATAAATGAGTCAGTTACAAAAAAATATAATAATCCAGAAAACACACGCTACCAATACATACAATCAAAGGAAGCTATAAAAAGTAAACTTAATATCCATACCTTTGTGAATCATAACCATGAAAATTAAAATCTTTACCTTTTATCAAATTATCACGAATATATAATATCCTAGCCTCCAATGATTACATAATTTCTCTACATACAAATACATGGAATAACGATCTTTATTCTGAATATACTGCATATTCAGATATTTTTGTCATATTTGGTAATTACAGATACAAAACACTATATTGAGTATATATCACAGAAAGTAAATTGTCTCTTATGGGCCATGCTTTTACATTTAACACTAATAAATGCACATACTGTCAAAATAGTATAAATTATTATATCCACTCTTTCTGGAACTGTACAAAGAAATTCTGGTCAGAAATTATATATAAACTTGAAGTGATTCTAGATGTTAATCTCTCTAAATCCTCTTCAGTATTTCTGTTAGAAAATCTTTCTCCTATTAACGCTTCAAAAGAAACAAAAACATTTATCTTTACCTCATCCATATTAGCAAAAAAAGTAATACTATTAAACTGGAAGGATACAACAAACATATCTAATCTATAAGTAGACACATTAACACTTGAGAAAATGACTCCCTCACTTAGAAACAAAAAAATATGAAACCCTCTTCTAAAGTTCCTGGACAGATGATCATGAAACATGAAATAATGCATATAATCAAAGGTGTGGAAAAATTAGATGTTTAGTGGTGTTTAAGATGTTAAGTAATGTGAGTTTACAGTTAAGTGTATATGTTTTTGTGTAGATTTGTTTATTTGTCATGTTTTTGTACCCAGCAATGTATGGTAAGAAGAAGATTTTTAGGGCCCAGAGTGTTTTATTATTTTTATTTTAAAAATCTTTATTTATTTGAATTATATTATATCATATAAATTGCATATTTCATAAAGGTTATTAATAATCAACAGGTTTTTGAGGTCAGCTTAATTTGAAGCTGCAGTTAATTTGTGAATAAAACAAAATATGAATTTTACGCACACCACATGTCTGCAGCCCTCTTCATTTGATGTGTGTTAACTGTATGCCTCGGTAATACATCATTCGTATTTATTGCATATTCTCTCTCTTTCTCTCCTGCAGAAGACAGAGGTGCTTCTCTGCTAATGTCTGAACAGATAGAGATGGCAGCACAAGTGGCTGCTGGCATGGCATACTTAGAGTTGCAGAACTACATTCACAGAGATCTTGCGGCACGAAACGTTCTGGTGGGAGATAACAACGTGTGCAAGGTTGCCGACTTTGGCCTGGCACGAGTTTTTCAGGTGAGAAATAGTCTTGACCCCTTAGCTTGCCTGTAGGGCAGTGGTTCTCAAACGGGGGGTCACAACCCAAAAATGGCTCACACGTCTGTCATGATAGTGTCACGGACAATAGGGAAAATAGAAATGTTGGGTACATGCAAAGAATAACAAGCAACTAATACATAGGAATATTAATAACCTTAGCAACTTTTAAAAGGGAGGATTAAATGCTTTCCATACCTTTTGCTGTGACATCAGAGGTTGTATATTTCAATATTTGGCCCAGTGCTAATCCAATTCTGCTGTTGTTTATTCATTTACAAAACAGTTAATTTCCCTATTCAGCTCATGTCATTTCAATAAATTTGCATGCTGTTGGCTCTATCCGATTCTTTTGAAGGACGTTCTTGTTTACTTTTGTACAATAAAAAACCCACCAATTGATGTCCAATATGAAATCTGGGTTCTGATGCAAACCAGTTGAGAACCACTGCAATAGTGTATACCCTGATTTTAAGAAAAGAATACAAAAAACTGTACTTTTAATTTCCCCACTGCATGTTCCCTTTAGATGGACAATGAGGACAGTGGTGAGAACGTTTATGAGGCCAAAGAAGGAACCAAGTTTCCAGTGAAATGGACTGCACCCGAGGCCATCCACGACAACAAGTTTACCATCAAATCTGACGTCTGGTCTTTTGGGATCCTACTGTATGAAATTGTGACTTTTGGACATATGCCTTACCCAAGTACGTCTTTATGATATATTATTGCACTTTTTGGGGATGTTGATAATGCTGAGGCAAAGTTTTGTTGGAATAATGCAATCTTGTAGAAAAAAACTACATCTGACAGACATGAGTTTGATTCATCTCTGAAATTAGATATCTTTATTTGACTTCTTTGATTTGTGGTATTGGGACATTACTTGTCCCTATCCCTAAAGCCCTCCCCTACACCGACCCCTGACCATGTTGAACCTGCTGATCAGTAAAGGTGTTTTTGAAGGTCCAGGATGGGAGCCATGGTTTTGAGCATGTTTAATATGAGCTGCACGCATCACGCACGCAGTCAATGTGCCAGCCCGTACGATCAACGTGAGGACGTCAAATTCCAATTTTATCCTTACTCTCCACACCACTGCTCCTGCTATCCGATAGGTTTTATTTTATTTTATTTTATTTACCTTTATTTTACCAGGAAATAGTCCCATTGAGATTCAGAATCTCTTTTTCAAGGGAGCCCTGGCCAAGACAGCAGAATAATAGTTCCATATTAAAAAGTACATATACAAACATTAACAAAAACAAAACAAACAAGAAAAAAAAGTACATTTTGGCAATTTAACATACTCTCAACATAATCACCAGCCGCTCTCAGTAACAGCACAAGCGCATCTAGTACTCAAATAGTCCTTTATCCTCATTTTAAATTGTGTCATTGTCGGTAAACAGTCAAATTTTAGCTGATTTTGCTATTTATACCAGGAAAACGGTGCAAAAACTTTAAAGGCACTTTCACCAAAGACAGTTCGCGTTCGTGGGATTTCATACATGATTTGCCCATATGATCTAAGATTACATTTCCTGGTAGTGACTTTAATAGTCAAAAGAGAGCATAAGTAAGGAGGCAGTTTACAAAGTATGGCCTTAAAAATAAAAATATACCAGTGCTCCAGTTTCTTTTGTCATTTTGTCTGGCTCAATCAGATAAATGTTGTCCAGGGTTTGTGTAAATCGCCTCTGTCAACAAGACTATTTGCTCTTGGTTTAAACTCCATTAATGGCATATTGAAACTACTAACAGCATGAAAATGAAAATTAAGTCCCTTAAAGGCCCCTTGAAATCATTTGTGGTGTATTCCTAAAAAATATATATATATTTTTTTTTTTACAGTTTTTTAAAGTTTTTGGTCTTGAAGCCCCCCTCTTAAAATATAAGAAAGCCTGAGGTCCCCAGCACCCCTGCAGTTATCAAATTTATAACCCATAGGTATAATTAAAGTTAAAGCCCAAATAAACTAACAATTGATGTCATTTTATTCGTTAGATTTCATCAATGAATTTGTAATAATATGTAAATATATTATAATTAATTATTGTATAATAGATGTAAATTGCATTTCCTGGCTTAACATTTTTGTAGGACATATTATTTTCACTTACATTGGTTCTCCTGGGTCAGTTGTGCTATGTCTGCTTATTATATTGCGTTATTAAGGCGTATTTTAAGAACACTATCTCCCGCCCTAAGCACAATAACTGGGATCGATTTATTTATTAGAGGATACTCTTTTGTGATCTGGCAACCGTTCACCTGGAACTTTAATGAGATTAACATGCAGACTAAAGAGTAGCTAAGGTTAATGCCGATTGGTCGGGAGCAGGGCTTGACATTTACTTTGCTCACCAGCCACTGTGGCTAGTGGTTTTCCAAAGTTACTAGCCACTCAGTATTTTCACTGGCCACAATTTTGACATCAATACCATGGGGAGAAACTGCCATATAGATATTTTTAATATCATCTCACAATTTGGCAGCCGGTATATTAGGCTGCTGTCACTTTAACACCTGACGCACGGACCCATTATACTGTTTAATATAGCCAATATACTTGTCTTCATTCTTTGGGTGTGAGCACTAAATCTGTGGGAAACAAGTAAAATTTTGCTCAATACGCGCAATCCCTTGCTGAAATTCAAGCCCTGTAAGTTAACACCAACAAAATGCATCCGGAGCAAATGAAACGAGTGAGTAAAGGGACCCGCTGTCGGAGAGATGGGAGAGAGAGAGAAAGAGCAGCCGGTATTGTGTATCCTGCGGAAGAGTTTCAGATATTTCAGTATCGATATGCATAGAAACATCTATATTTTTGACAACACTACATTGCACTTAGTATATTATTTTAGATGCCTTTTTAAAAGACTACAATTGAAAAATGTATACCATATAAAATTCACTCACATCTGGTGGGTTGGCGGGTGTTAATATCAAGCCCTGGTCGGGTGTTATTTAATAAAATAGTTTGAGTTACAAACACCTTTTACCAGCGTTATGTTTTTACTCTAGTCCGGTGAAGATTGAGCTTTTCACATCCGCCTCTCTCATGGTGTGGATGTTGAGATTATTTTGTACATGTTCTTTTTGAAAATGAGGACGTATCATACTGTCCATCTACTTAATTTGGCTTGCCTGGCCCTGTACCATGTGACAGATGAATTTGTACCAAAATATACTATAGAGTTTGAGTTAAATTGCATTTAGCATTGCTAATTTCTCCCCTTCTGACCTTGACAATATCAACACCCCCCACTGAGAACTATTGTTACATACTATAATCATGTTGGACCTTGTCAAAGTATTGAAGAGTATTGATGTTGATTTTCTCTCTTTCTCCAGCCATGACAAACTTTCAGGTGGTGCAACAGTTGCCCAAAGGCTACAGGATGCCTTGCCCTCTAAACTGCCCCAAATGTCTGTATGAAATCATGTGTGATTGCTGGAAGGATGTCCCTGCAGACAGACCTACCTTCGAAACTCTGCAGTGGAAACTCGAGGACTTCTTTGATATTGATGTCAGCTCTTACGATGATGCAAACCGCTACTAAAAGACACTACTACTTACACACTTAGCAGCTTAATATAACCACAGATGAGTCAAGTACTGGGTTTCGACAAGCAAGCCTGAGATGCCATTGTGGGATAAAATGAACAAACTGCCTTTATGCATTCTCAATGAACACATTTAATATGCTCAATGTACTTGAGTGTTTTTATGAACAAACGGCATTAGTTTAAGCTGATTCGTGTAGCTATTTAAATGTTTAAATACTTTCTCCCATCCCAGATTAATGTGCAGAGACAACTGGAGGTAACCCATTCATTGGTTGATTTCCGTGGAAACTGTTCTGTTGGTTTAAACAGACAGAACAATAGCATGAGTATGTGGCGGTACTATCTTTTCTGTCGACCGGTGACAAACTGGTGAAGGAGTGGGATGGATGTTGTTCGAAAACAGTTATAATTTTTGTAGTTCTGTTTTTTGAAACCAATTTTGCACAAACAACAACACAATTAAGCTTTAAATCATATGTATACTCTGAGCCTTCTGATAGTGTTTTTTTTTTTTTTTTTTTTTTTTTGCACAAAGCCTATCTTCTATTCAGTCTATGTAGGCATATCTTTATTTGTTTCTGTGCGTATACTGTATGCCAGCAAAATCATGGTAGTTCAGTGTCACTTTACTTGCACTCATGCTGGCACCATGAAGCTGAAACTATTGAGGAATCATTATATAGAGTCCGGGTGACGCATATATGGATCAGGTAGCAGCGTAGCCGGATTAACCAGTTTTACATTAAGTTTGAACAGCGAATGAGTCACTGCCTGTCGGCCTTACAGCGTTACTGGCTCAAAGGGAGGAATGCTCAGAATCCACTACAAACAGTACATTTGCTTACAGCGTTAAGTTTTCTGTGACAGTAAAGGCACATTGAGTCTAGACTCTCATTCAGGCCTTAGTGAAGACTAATTATTAGATGTATTGTACAGTTATTGTGATTTTTAAATACGTTTAGATCTAAATAGTTTCTTTGAGGTTAATTTACAGATTGTGATTGTGACCACTACCTCTTCAAAAGAATGGGACAGTAACTATTACATTTTCAATTTCCACAAAAATAATAATCAGACAAACTGTTTATAATGTTTGGTGATCTGCAAATCAGAATGATTTCTGAAGGATCATGTGACACTGAAGACTGGAGAAATGATGCTGAAAATTCTGCTTTGCCATCATGAATAAATTCCATTTTAAAAGATATTAAAATAGAAAACTTTAATGTGTTTTACAATTCAATTGTAATAATGTCTTACAGCCTTGACGAACATAAGAGAGTTAAAAACATTCAAACCAACCCCAAAACTTTGAATTGTATGTGTACAATTATACAAAAACAGACCAAAAAAGTATGCCTACAACTATTATGTATGTTAAATACATAATAGTTCTTATTCTGCATTTGTAATTGAAGGTTGAAGTATATATTTAATATATTTTTAGTAATTCAACAGATGAATAATGTTTACATATGTGTATTCACTTAGTGAAATAAAACTTTAATTCTTAATATTGATCTTGGACTATGTTTTATATCTCCACCACATGGGGGCACTAATAACCTTGTATTTTTAGTTTGGGTTCAAATCAAGCCTTGCTTATTCTTTCACACAGCAATGTGACCATCAACTGACTGCACAAGCACTTTCTTCTCGTTAAGTTGACATGCTTGCCATTTTATTATTATTATTTTATTTTTAAATGCCAGAGGTAGTTTAAAAAAAAGGTACAGCAGCGAGAAGCACTGTGGCGGTGGGACAACATCAGATCATATTGTCAAACATCAATCTATTTTTTGTTTTTATGTCAAGCATGCCTTGGAAAGATTTAAAGATTTTTGGAAGGTGTGCAAACTTATATTGAGGATGTTTAAAGGTTAAGTATGTAAGAATGTTTTGGTAAAATACATTCTCTTAACCCAAGTTATTGTTCATTGACTACTATTTGTGTGCCATTCATGGGTTTATCTCCCCCAAAAGTGTACAACATTGAGCCCCCTCAGGCACCATCAAAACCCTGAGAGCGGCCCGCTCAGATCCATCAGTCTCTTCCTAACTTCTTCCTTCTTTAGCGACATTTTAAGGTGTCTCTCTCCCCCATTCATAGTGAAAACACTTGAATGTGTTATGTTCAACTATAGGTATCATATTTCCTTTCACAGAACAACAAGCTGGACGATAACCAATCAGGATTTAAAAGCGGCCTCTTAAATGAGTCTGCCTTGCTGCCGGTTACTGAAGCTCTATGGATTGCAAGAGCCGATTCCAAGTCATCAGGGTTCATTCTGCTATATCTATCTGCAGCTTTTGACACTGTTAATCATCAGATCCTTCTGTCCACCCTCTCATGACTGGGCATCACTGGAACTTCACTTGGGGAGGGGAGGTATCAAAACACACCAACTGGTCACCGGGGTACCTCAGGGATCAGTCCTTGGACCCCTCCTCTTCTGGGACCCATTATACAGGCACATGATTTCTCCTATTTTTGCTATGCCGATGACAGTTTTTATTTCAACTAGACGATCCCACAGTAGCTGCACATATCTAAGACTGCCTGGCAGACATCTCGGAATGGATGAAAAACATCACCTTCAGCTCAACCTAGCAAAGACAGAGCTTCTCGTCTTCCCAGCGACTTCATCAGTACAGCACAATTTCAACAACCAGCTAGATTCAGCAACAATAATCCCATAGAGTTTGGCCAAGAATCTTGGAATAATTATTCATGACCAGTTGACCTTCAAAGACCACGTTGCTACTACAACCTCGACCAGGCCCTTATTATTTCTGGGCTGGACTATTGCAATGCTCTTCTGGCTGGACTTACAACATGTGCAATCAAACCTCTTCAAATGATTCAGACTGCAGCGGCTCGACTGGTCTTCAACGGACCTAAAAGAGCCAATGTCACATCGCTGTTGATCTGCACTGGTTTCCGGTTGCAGCTCACATCAAGTTCAAGATATTTTAATAACTGTGCTAATGGGAGGGAAAATGTTTGTTTTTTAGTACTCATAACAAAACCCACACATTGCAGAAATCCTAATTATGGGCCAGGCAACGAAGGTACGAATAGGTACCTATTGTAGCTTCTAGTATTCTTCTTCTTCGTCTTCGAGCAGTCCATTCTGCTCTTGAGTCTATGGCAGCCCATAGAACCGTATGGTAGATAGAAGACAGTCTCAACATTAAACATAGCAAATTTGGAGTCTCTAACTAAATCCCTCTAGCACCACCAAGTGTCCAAATTTGCCCTTACGTTTATGCTAATAACTTAAAGTGCCCTATCATGCGCAATGCGGCGCCAAGCAAGTGTCTTTTGCTAGTTTCAGCCCGACGCAGTTATCATTTTCACGTCCTGCGCCATTGTTTAAATAGCAAATACATTTGCGCCCATCTGTGCGGCCATGGGCTGCTGGTCTGAAAACGATGTGTTTTCAGGAGCATTATTGGCGCATTGCTATTTTGAGGCAACTGAAATAGACAGCACCATTGACCAACTGAGTGCGTTAGTATTATGCGCCTATAGGCGGGTGCACAACGCGTGTACACTCTGCTTATTACACACACAGGGATGCCCAACAGCACACAAACTAGCCAATTATTAAAAATAAAATGATTACAATGTAAAAGATCATTATTGTGTACATAAAGATTTGGTGGAATCCGGCTTGTCCCGTAGATGGTCTACTTGCGTGCTTTAACCTTGGGCATGAGCCGATCCTTTTGCGCTCTGGAGACACGTTCGGTCTTTCCGGTTCCAATTCCACCATGTAAATAGCGAAAGCAACATGGCGCGAGCATAACTGGATTTTAAAGGAATGGGAGATGAGACTCTGATTGGTTTATTGTACGCTGCGCCAAAAACACACCCATTTCTCGTTAAGAGAATAGGGACAACCCTTTTAGACCATTCGCTGGACGCGCCGACCATTTTTCCCGTCAATAAACTAGCAAAAGTTGATTCGGACACGCCCTAAGTGCACTTGCGCCGTGCGCTTTAGACCATGCGCTTAGATCGTTAAAATAGGGCCCAAAGAGTTAGGATTAAAGTCAGGATTATATTCTGATCTGACAAAAAAGACAACAGAGCTTTGGGATTAATAACTAAAATGCTGAACAAATATATTGAGCTCAAAGTTCCTCATAGAGAAATAGAGAATCTGTGACACTAGTTAACTTTTTAGTCGTCCACAACATCACTGTACCACTGGATTCTACAACTAAATGGATGGTTTGAAAAGAATTAACACCCTCATGTTGGTCCAATCCTTAATGAATTTCTTTCTTTTGTGGAACCTAAAATCAGATATTTTGAGAAATGTATCAGTATTTTTTTCTCCATACAATGGAAGTCAGTGGTAACCCAAACTGTTTATTACAATAAATTTTTTAATGCAATGTTCTATGACACATTTTGTCACATTTCCATGCAAGAAAAGCATGATAATAATAATAAAAACATATTACAGAAAAATGATGCTAAGTCTCTTAAAGTCAGATTCCTCTGGGCCAGTTGAATGTCCTGCCAGTGATCTGATAGAACTTCTGGTTAAATGGGTGGAAAAAGCGGTGCAGTTTGTCCTTGATGGAAGGGTCTACATCTGGATGGATCCGTCCCTTACTGCCCGCTAGGCACTTGTTAAATATGAAGTTATATCGCAGACAGAAGAACCCACGTGTGGCATTAAAGTACAGATTGTACTGGCTGATGCACGAGGGAAGGTTTAAGAAATGCTCAACAAGCTTAAGTTCTGGCAGTGGGTCTATGATGAGGCGGTCTCCATCAACTACATGAAATTGCTCCACAGGGAAGAACTTTAACCAGTGTTCTAGGTACTTGGTGTAGATGCTTGTCCGTACAGCCTTGTACTTTGTGTTCACCTCAGAAGTGTTGGTATCAATCACAAGTTCCTCAAACTTGTCATACATTTTTTTCTTGCGCTCTTTCCCTTCCAGGACCTGTGTGTAGTCAGAAACAGCGCGGGTGGTGGGCTCACGCACAATAACCAAAAGTTTAATGGAGGAATTCATCTTAAAGATCCTCTCAGGCACCTCCTCAGTGATGAAATATGCAGGACTCTTCTCAATAGTTATTTGGTGAGGAAAAGAGAAGGGCATCTTTTCGCGGTACCAAT